CCAGGCCTGCCTCTTTTCACATCATTTTGCCTGCTGGAATTTCTTCATCTCCCATTGTTTATCCCTGAGAAATGGCTGAAAGGAGGAAGGAGGGTGAAGCAGAAGAAAGAGCAGCCTGGATAAATCCCGAAGTGAATACTGCCCTTGAGCGATGGAGAGCTCGTTCCTCCCAGCGGGCGTCTGGTGCATCAAGGAGCGAGTTTCCCGGGCGACAGACACCATCTGCAGGTGCTGAGCTGGCTCCCGTTCCCTTCACGAGGCCTGGCGTGTGGTGTGGCTGTGCCTAAAGGGTCAGACTGTGAGCCAGGGGAGTTAGTTAAGCTCACTTTTCACTTCGCTACAGCAGGAAGAATAATATTGACCACCCCACTGGCTTGTTATGAAGATTTAACGAGTTCATCTTTGCAAAGAACTTAAAACAGTGCCTGGCACGTGGCACGCACTCTCTAATGCTTGTCATGGGGTGAGTCTTCTGATGCCGTCCTTTGCCCTGTGCTCATGCCAGGCCTTGGCAAGGTCCCCCAAAAGGAAAGAAGCCGACGGGCCATCTGGGAAGGGAGTGAAGACCCCTGAGTCCAGCTGCCCTCCCGCTGCACTGTCCGCTCTATACTATCCTGAGCAGAGGTCCCGGGCACCCACCTGGCACCTTGTTATAATGCCGTGTTCTCTAGCCAAGAATGATAAAACCGCTGTGGAATACACAAAGCACCTGACATATGTTGTCTCATTTAATCCCACAACAATCTCATGAAGTAGAACTGTTACCGCCTCCATTTTGTAGTTGAACATACTAAAGCTGACAGAGGATAAGTGAATGGTCCACCGTCACAATTGCTAGTAAGTAGTAGTGGAGCATAGAAGGAGCCCTGGAGGCACAGTGGTGAAAGGCTCAGCTGCTAACCGAAAGGTTGGGAGTTAGAACCCATAGCCACTCCACAGGAGAAAGACCTAGCAATCAACTCCTGTAAAGATTACAGCCTAGAAAACCCTATACGGAGCTCTACTTTGTTACACGGGGTCACTGTAAGTCAGAATCAACTCCATGGCACCTAACAACAGCAACAGGGGAGCATCTCCTCGAACCCAGGTCTTTTCAACTCCAGGGCCTTAACCATTTTTGCATTCCTGAAAGGGTGACCAAGAATAAAGAGCATCCGGAGGTGAGAAAGAAGGGGAAAGGGGATGAAAAAGCAACAGGAGAGGGGCTGTCTCAGGAGTGAGGCTCTGCCGACCTCACACATTTCCCAGCAAGCAGCTCAGCGTGAGGGACTTTGCAA